CAAGCTCCTTTAATTTCATTTTGAAATATAATTGTGCAAAAAGAACAGAAAATTTTAGACCAAGACATACTTATATACAACTGGTTAAACTTCCAGTTCTGCTGAAATAATTTGTCATAGTAGTTTTCTTCAGCAAAAAGTCTCATTTTGTTGTGAAAAAACAACAACAACGTATATACACATCACACTTGTATTGATTTTGTACGTGAATGCCTTTACTGACATTTGAATAAATGCCTTCTTAGTTGGTATGTGAATCTCTCTTCTGTCACCCCCACCCCAGAATGAAATAAGGTCAAGAAAATTATTTCACTAGTTAGCTGTAACATATTTTAACTCTCAGAACATTTTCCTGTTTTTATTTTGTTAAACGCTGTAATTGGTCAATTACAAATTTAGTTATTAGAACCGTTTCCTGTTTTTTTCCTGTTGTTGTTTTGTTAAACGTGGTTTCATGAACTTCAAAGTAGTTTTGGAGAGGAGAGAAAAACCCTTGACTTTGTATTCTGCCTAGAATACGTGGATAAGGCATCAACCATTTTTTTATGTTCTTTATATTAACTTTTGTCCCTAGTAAACGATCGATACGAAAATGTGCTTCAGAAATCCAGCATGACTGTTTAATTTACAGTGTCTCCTCCCCTTCCAAAGGACGAAATGAAAAAGATGGCAAGGAATCTTTCTACAGTTTCTTCTTTTTCAGATGATAGAACGGGAAGAGCGATTTTTATAAGTTCTCTCTTTTCAGGTTACGAACTGCAGGGGACTGAAAGGAGCTTTGTGAACATTTGTGATAATAAATGACATTTTTCTTATTTCGGATTCCAATTCAGAGGTGCGTAAAAATATGTTTGCAGATATATCTTTTGTCTTCCACAAGTCAATTGCCCAAAAGGCCTTTTTTTTTCAATACTAGGACTCGGCAGATAAAAAAAAAAGTCTGCAGTTTACGTGGTTTTTATCACAAAGATTAGGCCTGTTGGTTTCTAGCGCTTCGTCAGCTTCAGGCGCTTAAACCATAGATTTTTAAAGACCCACACTACAATAAAGTTTGAAGACGGCGTGAATCGGTCATGAAGAAATATTTATTACAAGTTTAGCATTGTAATAAATGCATAACGTTCCGACAAGGTTTTCTCATCATCATGGGTTACTCGTCATCAAGGCACACTTAGATTGTGTAGATAAATATTGTTTCAGAAACTTTTTTGGGTAAAGAGAGATTGTAATCCTCTGGTCGCCCGCCAGCCCTCTTCCTGAAATTAAATGACAAAAAAAAAAAAAAGCAAAAAATAAAATTTCTCATCGTCTATCCCAAAAGAGACAAAAGACTGAAATGTTGATTAAACAAACATATGATTTGGAATCCAAAATGGAAGAAATAAGAATGTAGTGAATAATCTGTAGTTTAACGATTTTTTATCAATACTATTAGGCCTATTTATTTCCAATGCTTAACCAGCTTTCGACATTTAAATTTTAACTCTTAAAAGAATCTTTTTAAAGGTTCTTCTTTTCTGAGTGACAAACTGATTATGCTCTGGGTTTTGATCAGGCTCTTTATGGGCTTTAATCTTGCTCTTGCCAGGTTTTAATAATATTTTTGATGGGATTTGATTATGTTTTGGGTGGCTTTTAAACATGTGGGTTTTAATTATATTCTTCACAGATTTTCATCATGTTCTTGGGGACTTTAATCATGCTTTTAGTGGGATTTTATTATACTTTTGAAAGATTTTGATCACTTTTTTAGTTTTTGAAGATTTTAATTATATTCTTGGTGGGTTTCGATCATGTTTTTGGTGGTTTTGATCGGGTTATTCCCATGTTTTAATCATGTTCTCTGTGGACAGATTTTAAAGCATGATGTTGGTAGGATTTAGTCATGTTCTGGTGGGTTTTAAATCACGTTCTTTATAGTTTTTGATAATATTCTTGGTTAATGATAATGTTTCGTTATATGAAAATACACACATAAAAGTCATTCTAATTTAAATCTAACCAAAATACTTTACATGTCAAAAAACAATCAAGTTGTAATAAGGAAAACAGCTAAATAAAGATGTAATATTTACAATAAGAGACGTGTTATACATAAACATTTATCATGAGAAAACAAAACATTTAAAATGAACTGCAGTGGTCATGTCGTATTGTATTCCCGAGGATTGATAAACTAACAATGTTGTTTACTTGTTTTGTATCACCGTAGCAACATGTGAACAGGAAGAAGTTCTGGAAAGATTGTCTCTGACGATCGTGTGCTACAATGCTAAGCTAACAATGTTTGTTTTCTTGTTCTACGTCACCTCTGTAATATATAATCAAGAAGGTTGTGTCACCGACTATCGTGTGCCACACATTTAAACCTACAGTGTTTGTTTTCTTGTTCTACATCACCTCTGTAACATATAGTCAAGAAGGTTGTGTCACCGACTATCGTGTGCCACACATTTAAACCTACAATATTTGTCTTCTTGTTTTACACCAACTCTGTAACATATAATTAAGAAGTAGTTTGGAAAAAGTTGCGACTTTGACGATCACGTTCCATTCTCTAACCCAATGAAATATATATATATTGTTACGTCTCTGTTCGTTTGTTAATTTCCCGTAAAGATTCTTTCCGAAGAACTTCAGCAATACAAGTCCTTCCTTAAATAAAACTAGTTTATTCTTTCTCAATACAAATTTGGAATACACTTAATTTCCACAGTCAGTTTGACTTAAACAAACGCTATAATTCACAACGAACGATTCACGCACTTGACTCAATTGTCCGTCTCTATCTTTGTCTGCAATTCAATTCCATTGTTTGGCGCACTTATATACAAGAATACCGCACATCTAGTAAACACTTGAGCATTCACGAACCTTCGAGAATATCATGACGTGTTACTAGCGTCACGTGTCTTCCGCTGCCGTAACAATATATATATATCAATTGATTACAATAAATGTAGAGTTTTAATGTATAAACATTTAGGTTTCGACACTAGCATCGGGAAAAAAATGAAAAAGTGTTATATTCTATATAAAAGAAAACGTCCATTGTATACTTGAGTAGTCTATTCAGTTAACATATGTTATACTGCAAATCCTGAGTACCAAGGTTTAACTCATTTTTGTTTGTGGGGTAAAAGGAGTTTCTTAAGTAAGTTGTTCTTAATGATCTTTCAAACATTTAGCATTACTACACGACTGGTGATTTTCTACGAAATTTGCTGTCTCAAGACGCCTTTGAAACAATGAAAAGTGCCTTGTAAATGACTCATACACTGTTTCCATGACTACGTATTATCTGGGATTTTTTCCTCCACATAACAGCGATTTTTGTTGTTGCTTTGTATATATATAATTTTAAGTACATAGTTAAGGCTTGAACATTTATATCTACTCTTAATTAAAAATAAAGTAGTTAAGTTTTCACATTTTACACTTCCAAATATATGGTGAATCTCTACCGCCCTTCAGGAATCTGCTATTTTCATTCAATAGTTCATCTTTTTATTTTATTTGTATTGATTGCCACGACAGCTGTTTTGAGTTTCTTTCACCTTATTGAAGTTACAAAGATCTTATTGTTATACTCTCTTGCTCCTTGAATGTTAGGGTTAACATACCTTTCGAATTAGGTAGATCGATGTGTCTGTATAATTATTTGAACATAATTAAGGGAAACAATACTTCTGTAGATTAAAAGAAAGCTTTTCTTTTATGAATTTTGAAATGATGATAAACTTGGAGTAAACCTTGAACGTTGAGAAACGTACTGAGGGTTAATCGCGCTTTATAATGTTTTCGTGCTGTTTTAGAACTACTTTCTTCGTCGAAGGTCGTGCTCAGTCTGATGATCATGATTACACAATACTGGCCGACACAGCATTCTAATACACTCCTGTGAAAGATCAATTTTAAACAATGTATCTCGATACATTTTTCATAGATCCTCCACTGTAAATTACCGTGTTTAGGCAGATCAAAGGCACAAAGGTGTTCAAGTTTTGTTGACTTCTCATTAAAACTAACTGAGTTCGTTATTTTACTATTATTCAATTTTATTAGATGATCTTCTGTAACATATTATAGATAGATACGTGTTACTAAATCCATATGTTTATTGTAGATAGATAAGTGTTACTAAGTCCATATGTTTATTGTAGATAGATAAGTGTTACTAAGTCCATATATTTATTGTAGGTAGATAAGTGTTATTAAGTCCATATATTTATTGTAGGTAGATAAGTGTTACTAAGTCCATGTGTTTATTACAGATAAATAAGTGTTAGTAAGTCCATGTGTTTATTACAGTTTATTATATGTTTTCAATATATTTGAGTCCATAACCACGAGCGATATCCATCATTTAAAGACGTGTGTCGACATCTGAAGACACTGAAATATATTACAAATGGCCATCTAGAGATGATTTAAAAATAGTTTATGGTCTAATGCTAAAAGAGTTATGACCATAAGTTTTAAGAAGTTTTGATTTTTTTTAAATCAGTACTGAAGATTTTATCAACAGTTATACCAGCCCATTTTTCTCTCACATATCATGGACAAAATAATTATGTCTTAAATAGTTAGTTTTCACCCACATGAGGAGAAGTTAGTATTCGGAATTATTTTGTTATTTGAATTTGTATCTGGTTGTCTACAGAACTAAAAATGTTTGATTTTCTTATTTTTAAGTGTTATTTTTACTTAATTACTGGTTTCACGTTTTGAATTTTGTTCATTGTAGGTATACCATCCGATACTGGCCATGCTCAAAGGAAGTTGCCACATTTCTAGTTTTTACCAGTTTTCTTGTTTACTACTGCCCTGCCGAGAAATCAAACGATATTTCCATGGAATCCAAGCTGACCAAGTGCAGTGGTATCTAACTACAAACTGTGCCCTTTGGTCAGTGTGTGGAAACAGAAGTCTCCATTTCTTGAAAATAGCCTTCTCATTCCGACAAAGAGTTACATCAGAAATAGCAAGCAAGGAACACTATGTCGTACATGTTTCACTTTCACGACTTGATGGGAGGTCTTCACGTCCCCATCGATGATGGGATTGACAAGTTAAACCGGAAGTACACGTCCGTTGTCTTCCTCTTCCTCGCGCTTCCTATCTTCACCAAACAATACATTGGAGAACCCATCGAATGTTTTACACCAACCTACTTCACTGATGCTCAGGCACGTTACGTCAACAGTTATTGCTGGACAACGTCCACTTACTACATGGTTACGGCCGATGATGAAGAAGAAATGGTAAACCCTCCAGTGCAGCCACCCTATCCTCGAATTATACCTGAAGAACTGGATTACAGTGGCTTGGATATGTTCTCAGTACAGAAAGATAAATTACGGCGAGTACACGTGAGTTATTACCAATGGTCTCCATTGATCTTGATGCTACAAGGTGTATGTTTTCATTTACCTTTTATCATGTGGAACGCCTGTGCTCATAACGCCGGTGTGAAACTACGACAACTCCTCAAACGTGCTTCTGACATTGCAGCCATTCCTCCTGGTTGCCAACAGCGGGAATCTTTGTTGACAGAGTTTGTGGAGCAGTTCAACACATTGGTAAATGGAAGTGCAGGCTGGTGCACAGACCCGTCGTGTCGACTGCCTCTTATGGGCTGTCGTTATTCTCCTGGCCCGAGCCGTTTCTTGTGCCTCTTATACATATTTGTGAAATTCCTCTATGTACTAAATGTAGGTTTGCAGTTTATGCTCCTGAACGCCTTTATGGAGAAAGATTACTACTGGCATGGTTTTGAAATCTTCAACCACTTGATAGAAGATGGCAGTTGGTGGGTTTCTCCACGTTTTCCCCTACAAACTCTATGTCAGGTTCGAGCAGCAATGCAGGGGGGGCTTAGGACTTACGTATGCAGGTGTGTCTTGCCCATCAACGTGTTCAACGAAAAAATATTTTCCATTGTGTGGTTTTACTTAGCCATCATTCTTCAGTTGAATGCTGTTAGCTTGATCTTTTGGGTTTGGAAGTCTTTTCCTTATAGTCGACTGGCTTTCATTCGACTTTGTCTCAGCCGCTCCCGAGTTATCCGAATGAGTGATGTGGCGCGTGCCTCCAAGAAGATATCCGCAAGCTATCTGGGCTGGGATGGCGCCTTTGTGCTTCGGCTTGTAGAACACAACCAAGGCAGTGCCATGGCAACTGTTATCGTAGGCAAGCTTTGGGAGTTTTATGCAAGCCAATTAAAGGCTTATGACGAAGGCGGTGGTGATATGTAGTTGGCCTTAATGCATGAGTCAATGTTGTTTACAAAACGAGCAGCCCCAGGCGAATACTGGAGTAAATTCTCATAATTTGTAGGAATTTTACACTTTTCAAGTTGCTAGAACGTCTAGATTCAAGCGTTGAAAGGAAACAAACGAAGCAAGTACCACTTTTATCACATGTAACATTGTTATTAATCCCATACTAAAGATCCTCATAAAAAAATATTAATTGATGAAAAATAGGTAAGTAGGCTCGAACTTTGTTCAGGCGATAACACGAATCCATGAACTTTGTAAATAACAAAAAAAAAAAAAACACAGACAAACTTTAATTAACTAACTAAAATTAATTTATTAATATTGTACCACATAACGTTTCATCTTCTTCAAAAATGTCTCGCTTAGAGATGAATTTCCAGATTTACACTAACGCGAGATTTTATTGTTAAATTATTATCTGACAGAACAAACATATTCGGTGACCACTAAAGTAGTTTAAAAACTCAAGAAAGTTGTGAACGCTTTCTACCATATTTTCTATCAATACTAGTTCAAAAGAAACTTTATTTTATTGTCTTGTCTTACGAGAGGAGAGGGTTGATGTTGTGTAGAGAAGTAGAAAAAAATATTTCATGTGGTTTAATAATCTTTAATGTACGTTAACACAAACATATTAGTCTCGTTTTTCAATTGGTATTACGATTAAGATCATTTCAGAAGATGTTGGTGATTTCTTATTGTATGGAACACTTTATACGGTGGGTACTGTACATTGGAGTTTTAAACTTTAGCGATGCTCAATATAAACCAAGAGGTTTTAGTCACATATGAAACTCACCAAAATTCATGACGTTTTGAATAAGCAGAGTTGCTAGCATCAACGTTTCATCTTATTCTACTTAAATGAAACGTTCCATGCGTTTCAGTGTAATATTATGTAATTATATCCTGCGTTTCTTAAGATGTCGGAGAATTATCAGTTACTTTATGTAAGTTTACCTAAGAGCTGTAAACGAATTTTAATGTCTTAGGTTAATCTGCATGTTCAACATTTATTACATTTTCTCTAGTAAAGGCTAAACAAATACTACAATTATACAACGTTTTAGTTTTGATTTGATTTGTTAGTTTTTACTAATGACTTCTCCCATCTCACTAGAACATATTTAACATTTGAGATAAAGTTGCGAAAATATTCTCTCCTTTCTTCTCTGTCAAATGTATAGAAACTCTTATAAAAATTCAGGTCCTCCTTATTTCTAATTGAAGCTATTTATTTATATATATATTTATATATTTACTTAATAGTTTCAAGTCCCATTCATGTTGACAAGACAAAAACATCTTGCATTGTAAACTTCATTTATCAGTAGAGTAGAACAACGTCTTTCAATTTGAATTTAGTACGACAAGTTAAAGTAGAAAACCAAAACATATTGTGTGACTTCCAAGTAATGTTTAATGGCTTGACCATCGTTATTCCTACTCGAGAAGTGGGTTTAAAAGTAAAGGTACAAAAAGTTTGTTTGATATTAAGCATAAAGCTACAATATTGGATTTCTGTGTTGTACTACCGAAACCCGATTTTTAATGTTGTAAGCCCTCAGGCTTATCGCTGAACCACTAAGAGGCAGATACAAAAGGTCATATAATATTGAAAATGGAATAATAAAGCAAGTAAATAATAGAATATAAAACAAAACAATGAACAAATATATATTAGAATACAAACCAAAACGTTGAAGGAAGTAGATATTAGAATACAAACCAAAACAATGAACAAATATATATTAGAATACAAACCAAAACGTTGAAGGAAGTAGATATTAGAATACAAACCAAAACGACGAAGAAAGTAGATATCAGAATACAAACCAAAGCGATGAAGGAAGTAGATATTAGAATACAAACCAAAGCGATGAAGGAAGTGGATATTAGAATACAAACTAAAGCGATGAAGGAAGTGGATATTAGAATACAAACCAAAGCGATGAAGGAAGTAGATATTAGAATACAAACCAAAACGATGAATGAAGTAAATATTAGAATACAAACCAAAGCGATAAAGGAAGTAGATATTAGAATACAAACCAAAGCGATAAAGGAAGTGGATATTAGAATACAAACCAAAGCGATGAAGGAAGTAGATATTAGAATACAAACCAAAGCGATGAAGGAAGTAGATATTAGAATACAAACCAAAGCGATGAAGGAAGTAGATATTAGAATACAAACCAAAGCGATGAAGGAAGTAGATATTAGAATATAAACCAAAGCGATGAAGGAAGTAGATATTAGAATACAAACCAAAGCGATGAAATAAAGATATAAAGAAATTTAACAGAAAACATACATACAGAGAACTTGAAATACATCAATTTTTTCTCAGCGCGATTTTCAGTAGGCACAAAGTTAACATATTTTAATGATACACTTATTATTGGTCAAATATTGCGCATAGGCTTTTGTTTCTCTGTGAAAGAGAAGATGGTGGGTCAACAAGGAATGATGGAATCAAGATAAACTAAGGCTTAGTAATATCATTATCAAAAGTTAGTGCTGGCAGTTTATTGTTATATGCAAGTAATAACGATTAGAACAGTATCTTCTTGAGTGTGCATGTCACTGGAAATTGGATCATCTTCGGAATCTTATCTTGATAGGCTGGTTTCTTTATGGTTGTCTGGGCTTCCTCTGAATAGCAGGTACAGGTCTGAGTGACCACGTCTTGGAGACAGTGGAACAATTCATAATAGATTAATGATATAAGACTTACTGTACTGTACATTGATATTTTGTTCTATAAATTAGAAAAGCACACGTGGCGAGAAAGATGACAGACAGAAAGTTGTGTGGTTTGATTACGGAAAAGATTGGTTAGCATACAGGATTAATTTTATTTAATAAGTTGTGACATGTATATCATCAATAAGCAAAGAAAATAGTCTAAGACATTTAGTAACAGCTGAGGCATTGCATTGCACGACACATGATAATCAGGAACATAGCTTAGGTATTAAGTGTTTCAATGTTCGCGGAACGTGACAAATATAGTAATCAGGAGCCGAAGTCGATAGTTGAATACCTTCAGAGAAGCGTGGTAACCAAAAATATAGAGTTAACAAGTGAAGACCTTCAGGGTTGTATTGAACAAGAGAGAAAATGTGGTAATCAGCAACAGAAGTCAGTGGTTAAATATCTTCAGTTCTGGTGGGGCCTGAACGAAGATATTGTATTCGGTACAAGAAGCTAACTGAATATTAGGAAGAAGATATGGTAATGAAGAACTGAATATAAATACCTTTAGTTTTAGTGGAATATTACAGGAGAGATAGCACTAACAATCGAAGGCTATGTACCTTCAACGCTAGAATTGGCAAGGAAGTAGATACAGTTTTCAGGAAGAGAAGACACTAATTCAATACCTTCAATTTTTGTAAGATATGACGTCATAATTATAAGTTAACAAAGGTGGAAGACTTTCATTGTTAGATGAGACATGGCAATAGAGATGGTAGATAACAATAAAAGGCAACGGCTACATAACTCAGTACATTGAAATATGAATGTAGATGAAGTATTAAACGAGAGACTGGGTCAGAAACAGAGGACATTGATGAAATATCTTCAGTGATAGATGAGAAGCAACATAAGTCACACCACTTGAACGCCCTCTATATTGTCTAGATGCTGGGACAAGTATGATGTTTCGTTGAATCTAAGCTATCTTATAGGAAAGTCGAAAATAGAGAGACCTTCGACATTGAAAGGTTAAATCATGAATAAGAATGGGCGTTGATACTGTTGTTGTTTGAAGTTAAGCACAAAGCTTCACAATGGGCTATCTGTGCTCTGCCCACCACGGTATCGAAACCCGGTTTCTAAGGGCGTTGATACAAAAGAATGAATGCTGCTGCTTCTGACATTCGAATCCTTTAATCTTACTTTTTTAGTTCATATATATATATATGTACACAAACTTTCTTGAATTGTCGGCTAAACATTTATGGCCATTTGTTGTATGATAATTTTCACTACTTCGTGGAGCTTGATCGGATATTTTTCAAGGATATCTCCTTACTTATTAATGTAATGTTTTCAAATCTAGAATTCTTAAATTTTGACAAATAAGAAAAATATGTCACTGAGCATTATTCGTCAAACTTTTTAAATATTCGTCTACAGTATGGGAAGAAAATATAGTCATTCGTCGAAAGTATGTTATTTGGCTAGAGTCCTCATAAAGTATGGATACGCCTTAATTATTTCTCTGAAGTTCCGAGAAAGTGTAAATATTTAATTGGAAGTTCCACAGAAAATGTCAGTATTTGTTGACAGGTTTTCAAGGAAGTATTTTTATTTGTATAAAGTATGCCCATTAAGTGTAGTTATTCATATGGAACCTAGAGGGCGGATAGTTCTATAGAGTGCTGCCAAGAAAGGAGAGTTCTACACGGAGCCTCCAGAAGTTGCAAAACTTTTGGAAATCGTATTAGATTTGCATTATCATTAGGGTCGACTTTATTATTTCACTTCAATAGCAATTTATTCATTAACAAGCACGGCTTTTGAATACGTAATTTTTTTATTTTTTTTTATTTAGTAGAGTTTGTACATTTGGATAGCTTATGTCATGATTTACTCACATGATTATCTACATACTCGTTTAACTTATAACCTAGGTAGGCCTTAAAAGAACTGTTTTTCAAGTAAACTTAAAACATTAAAGATCATCTATTACGTTTGATTTTACCCAACCTATTAATCTATATACATAACACTCTAATTATCGATAGTAAAGATTTCCAAACTCTACAAATTAATCCTATACGTTACAATAACCGCATGTATTACAACAAACATTACGACTGCGTATTCATTATATATCAGTAACAAAAAAGTGTCCAAATAAGTAAGATTAATATTTTGCTTTCATTGAGTTTACTAAAGTCTGATTATCGGTATAACGTCCTTCACGAGTTATTCATGTGAATATACATATATTAGTTTAAATTACAATCTACGTAGTCCTGAAAAGGATTATTTCGTGTTAGTTTATACATAAAACATTCAAACTGTAAATAATCATCCTACGCATTACACTAGCTACAGAAAATACCATATGCACAAATGAAACTGGATTTTTATTAGCAGTA